AACGAGCCCCCCCCCCCCCCCCTTCAACACAAAACAAGTAACAGTCTGTGCCAGCACAACAATACCAACGCACCTGCCGTGTACGCTCCGCTGGTCTTGTGTTTACAGCGGCAGAAAACGCCACCATAAGAAAATCTACCTCCAACTCCACGGCATCCGCACTAATGCTGGCCCACCCCTCCACCCCCCCTTCGCCCGAGCTCCCGCCGGAATGTGGGGTTTCTCCCCTCGCCGCAGCGCCTAGAATCCCGCGGTGGGCGGCGGCTGTCAGCACCATCCTATCCAGCAGAAACCCCATCGACATCGGCTCCGGCAACAGCCCGCTCGACGTTACGTGGCGTGCGAACTCCGGGTAGGTAGCCCTGCAAAGTGTTGTTGTTGTTGTTGTTGTTGTTCGCGATGACCAGCGGACAAGCGGGGGGAGATGAGCGACGGGTAGAGAGAAGAGGGGCGCGTGTGCACGGAAATGTTTGTAGCGTAAGTCACAGGAAAGGGGCTTGCTGGGTGTTGGTTGTGTTCGTTTCCTTTGGCGTCATTCGTACCTCCCGGATGGAAAGGCCCTCCGCACGCTGTCCAAGACCTTGTCGAACACATCTGGAGGGAAGTCGTTGGAGCACCTTAGCTCTTCTACCTCCACCGGTTCTAGGGGACACGCCTCCTCCACCTGAACAACCCACGCAGGCATGCAGGCAGGCAAACGGGTGTGCAAATCCTGATTTTCTAGCACGTGGTACCTTACCTGAGAAGCGCAAGGCGTCGGATGAATGAAACGCTTCGACACGAACCCGTACGGTGCATCTCAAAGAGTTCGGCCGCTCTACAAGAGACCATGCCAGGCTCAACCGAGTGCGAGGGTCACCGTCGTGCGTGTGCATTCGTTGGATGTGACGTGCCTTCTTGCACCACCTTAAAATGACTGCAGCATACCATCGCGAAGCCTCAAGACCAAAACTCAACTGTCGATGGGACGTGAAGTACGATTTCGAGCGCTCGTGCCTGAACAACATCTACACGCTGACGAGCACCCACACCTCCATTCCCGAGTGAGTGAGTGCGTAAGGCGATCGAGCAAAAGCCATGACCTATAACGGGGCACTGCTGTCTTGGTCTCTTGTCTTCCTGGACACACAGCAGTCGGCCGTGCAGAACAAAGGTGGCAACTGAAAACACCGCCCAGCCCCGTCCCCCCTACCTGGTCTTTGACGGCATCCAGAGCCTTGCCTCCGAGATGGCTGCGTAGAAACCACAACCCCAGGGCCCCAATGAATCCTAGCACCATCTTGCCGCCGTGCTTGGAGAAAACGCTCTCACTGGAGATACAAGTGAGAGCCATTGGAAGCAGAAGTAAGTGACCACGAAAAGGACGGAACAGGGGAGGGGCATTGGCGGTTAGCACCAACTGCTGTGTATTGGAATGCACGAGCAGAGCCGAGAAGTATTGAGACATGGGGAAAGCGGGTACGAGACGAATATGTAGAAAACATTTTTTCTAGTTATTTTGGGACATTCGTGTGTGCAGACACGGACAGGCCATTCTCAAGACAAGACGTCAATACCCACCTTCGGCTTGAATATCCGTGAACGGGGTGGCCCCAGCATCGACGCGCAGCAGAAGACATGAGGGAAGCGGCGGTTATCGCTGTCCGGCCGGCATATCCACCCCCAGCCGTCACACGACCCCCAACCATATTCGAAACTAAACCGGAGATATACTTTTCTATAGCCACAAGCCCTGCTGAAAATGTACCACAACCGTTTCATGTTGGTCATGCCTCTCTGTTGTGAGCTACAGCATTTACATAATTGCTGTTTGGATGCTGACGGGGAGATCATTCATGCGACGGTTCCACAGCGGTGTGGTGGGGGGCTTTCATTTCCATCACATCCATTTATCTCTCACCAACGGAACGTAAACTTATGCATGCAGGAATGCCATCTTTACAGTTGAAGCAATGCGACTATCAGAAACCTTTATCCGGGAAGGTTGCTTGCACGGGCATTATCCGCACGCCTTTGGGAATACGCAAGGACCGTTACGGAGACCCGAGCTACACACGCAAACTCCTCGTGTCGCTGCTGTACGGGTTGGCACCATGATTGATGTATCACAAACATATGGCCAATGCACTATGATACTTATGTCGCATTTTACAGCCAGAAGCCATCAGAATATTCGACGGGATGGCTCCATGCTGGGAATGCGACCTACTGCTGTAGCACCAGCCATTGAAGAAACGATGCACGTTTCATGTCGAATCGATGTCCGTCCCGCTCAAGCAAAGGGTAGATCGTGCCTGCTGGGTGGTCCCAATGAATGTTGCATCAGCAGCCCGGCGCAGAGAGCTACTCAAATACGAAGCCCCAGCCCACTCACTTTTCATCCAGGCGCTTCTTTGCCGCCGCCGCCTTCTCGGATGGCCCTTCCTTCCCCGCTGCATTCGGTGCTGCTGCAGCAGCAACGTTCTTGTCCGCAGGCGGTGCTGTTGGTGTTGCTGCTGCTGCTGTTGTTGACGACGATCGACCCGCAGCAACAACGGAACGCAACAGAACCACCGCCGTTGCGCGACGGTGGCTAGATGTACACAGAAGAAGTGTACGTCGGCTGCAAGACATGACTCTCCGGGTGTGGATCTCTACCTGCTCAGTTGCTGCCGAGCAGACGAGATCGGCGCGATCATGGGTAGTCAACAAGCAAGCCTCCGCGGAGAGACCCCGCAGAATCATTACACACACCTTCCCCGAACACAAAATGGGCGAGGCGAAGGAGGGTTGATTGTATGACAAAATACTGCAACCTGTGAGCCCCCTTGCGGCTCTTTTCTTTGGCTATACGCTCTCCGCCTGCGGATAACCGCACACCGCACACCCCTCATCCACTGGCACAGCAAACTAACCCTTGAAAAGAGAGGGGATATCGCTTTCCTTGTACGTCCCCAGCAACACCGTCTTCTAGGGCTCTCGGACGTAGCGGTTCCTGCTTCGTAGCGTGGCACACGGATCTATCTGTCCGGGAAACAAGAACAGAATTACACGGAGATAACACATACGCCATCGAATCATGAGGATTGCTTTCTCGACGCTGGTGTTGGTGGCTCTGCTGGCCGGGGCTGCTGCTCAAAGTGAGTGTGATTGATGGCGGCGCTGCTCGCATGCCCTCCTGTGGTGCTCTTGTGGGATATTTTGAAGGATTAACAGGGTCGATCGATGCGTTTTTTGAAATTGTTCGGATTGGGCGTGACACACATCATGACGACGACGTCGAGAATACAACGAGAGGCAACCACCAACTTGCAAGCTGTAGCGTCCTCTCAGCTAACGGTTGTCTTGTCTGTGTGCATCTCGTCGTCTCTCATCCTCTCCTCACGGAGGTGTGTTGCTTTCCGGGAGCGATCGACGTGGCCGAAGTACAAGGAAGGCTTGTGTGCGTGCCTGTGTACTACTCATGTTGTTCCAGCTTGCACAGAGAGGATGCAAAATATTTTTGGCTGGCTTGCCGTACTGCTTGCTGTTCAGTCACACACTCCTGACATGATGTGCCAGCCTCTCACACGGCGGCAAGGACTCCATCTGATTTTTGGGTTCCATATCTTTCAACACCAGTGGGTGCACACCATGTACTCGGACGTTGTACGGCCGGAGGAATTGCGTTGCTGTCTGAGTTCTCTCCCAAATCTGTGTCCGCAGCTTTATGTACACCTGGCACGCAATAAAAATCGCCGCTCACATCAACCCGTGGTGATGAACACGCCGAAGCGATGTTCAAATTTCGATTACGAAGAGGATGCACAACATGAGACGATGTATCATATAGCTCTGGAAAGCTCTCGAAGGGACGCCTTCAACCCCGCCGTGTTCGGTGCGCCTCTATTTTCTGTTTATTCGTAGTGACAAGAGCTTTGAAAATCGGTCCGGTTAGTTGGAACCAAAGTTTCATCCCCGACACACACCAATGCATCATACACATACTCATAAATACACCGCTCGCGCCGGTGGGGTACTGGGTAGCCTCCCAGCCTGCTAAGGACCAGGTCATGGGTTCGAGTCCCGACAAAGTGAGTTTTTCTCGCTAATTCAATCCTGGTCTCCGTTGGAAGCGATGCGCTGCAAAGCTCGTTGTTAGTAAACTTGATCGACTTCATCAGTCGCGAGGGAAGGGATTGCTGTACCCTTCTCGCGATAAAAATATCTCAGGCAGGAACCGCAGGAAGGGGTCCACCCCCCCCCTCTTATGTGATCCCGGTTGGGTAGTCTAGCTGGTAGAAGTGGAGGATAGGGGCCAGAGGGGCAGACGACAGGGTCCAAGGATGGGAGAAAAAAGAAAAATACATCCTTACGCATATTCGTGCTATGTTTCCATCAGACCGGTAAACCCCGACGGTTGCCTGCAGTACGTTAGCATCGGCTCCGATGTGCGTTGTCTCTGCTCTCTCTCTCGCACGCGGGACGGGGTCGATCACATTGCGAGAACTCTGTTACGTACCCTCCCGGGGTATCTATTTTCCGTTTGGATGTTTGTAGCAGCAGTAGTCAGTAGATTGAATCTAAATAGAACAAGAGACATGCGTACTATATCTGTCTCACATCACACATCAGAGACATGACTGCTGTACAAATGGCACAGTAGTTCCGCGTGTAGGCCTGTGAACATTGCTCAATATGCGTGCTTCTGTGGTGGGCTCCCTCTTGGTCTCTGCTGGTCTTCACGGCCCATGTTTTTATCTCGTTGGCGAGGCACGCCGGCGATTTTTCGGCACACAAAGTTATCGCGCTGCTATCGCGCCTTTAGTCACGTAAGGGTTTAAGCCTCTATGTACACCTCTACTGTACGTGATAGGTTTCAGGGCGATTTTCCGTAGCATACGCAAACGCGTTTTAGACCATATCGGTGTTGATGCACACCACAGAAATATAGTTCAATACCAAATTTGGATTAGAATGGCAACACGGAGCGAGGAGGTGGGGGG